GATTTGGGGATCTTTAGCACTTGTTTTTCAGTCATCTGACAGGGCAGAGAAGTCTGTTTTATTTCTTCCGGCTTAAACAAGCTTGTTATGGCGACCTGTTTTTGATAAAACATAACATTCTGAGCATGACCCCTATTATAATTATTAGGAAAAAACCCCCTTTTTTTGTTAATGCCCTATAAGCAAAAAGTTTAGCCATGGCACTGCTGTGATTTGGGACGTACGCTTTCCCTGTCTGCTCTCCAAGGGTTCTTGTGACAACGTTAATTTGAAAAACACATGTGAACTGGTGTAAACCTGGATGAAACTTCATATTTGGTATGGTCTGCCTCAAAGCATGGGGAAACATGGCATGTGCCGTATTGCAAGGGCTTTAGGCTCTCGAGCGACCGGTCCCCTTATGCTGCTACATACACACAACTTACACTTGCCTTGGGTGCATGCATTGGGCAGCACCTCTAAAGGGCACGCTAACGCTGAGGTAGGTGGTGGAAGGGGAGAGGCTCCTCCAGAAGTATTCCCTGTGCACTCCCAACAGTTTAAGTAGCGTGGATGGTGTGGAAATGACTGTCTTGCAGACCTGGAATGGCAGAAACTTCTGGATGCAGAAGGACACTTCCGTGGAGATTTGTGCAGAACTGATCCCACAATTACAAAGGCATCCATCCCACAAGCACTGGTCATTGCTACGGGCTTCTCTACAGGTTTCTGCAAGGAATCCCCTCAGTGATGTTACAGGTCTGTTGAAACCGGTCTGATGAGGATGCATTGACCAGTGGAGCTGCTGCAAGGTGCCAGCATCACTGCAAAAAGAAGTAGTTTACTGTGGTTACAAGATACACAAACTTCCAGAAAGCTTTGCACGTATGGATTCTCCCACAGGAAATCAAGGAGAATCACATGTTTATTCTTTGTCCTTTCCACCTACGAGTCCTTGGAGTACGTCTATAGGAAAAGATTGTTTAAGTGGTGCTGAATGGTTTGACTGATCATTGTAGCAGCATCGCTAAAGCTAATGCCAGCTTGTACGGAAAAGAAAAAGGCCCAGAAACATCCACTGGCACAACTGCTCCCACTCACTTTTCCTCATGATCAGGAAGAAGTCTGCCAGCCCTGCAACAATACTGATGGTGTGTATACACTGAGGATGTGACCCATTCTCCCTGCCGCCCGTGCTTACCTCCAGAGATCTTACTTAACCTCTACTACAGCTCTTGAAGCACACCATTGGCCAGCTAGACTGTGTAATCAGTATTCTGCTGATTACTGATGACAACTACCAAACAGAGTAAACATTTACTTTTGCATTATTCTCTCATGTATAATACAGGGAACACAGGCACCTGACTCAGGCATATGGATTCCACTCCATAGGCTGAAAACTGAACACCATCAAGCGCTTAAGTCTTTTGCTGGATCTAGATACGAGATGCTAAGTAGAGAATAAAACACAGTAAGTTATAAGTAAATGAGGTAACTTGCTATTTAGAGTATCATCCTGCTTAAACATCCTAGCAAACTGCTGATGTAGTTACTAGACACAGATGCAGCAAGATACATTGTAAAATCTGTGTGAGATTATAAAGACAATGGTTCTATAGGCAAATGAGGCTCTACTGCTGAGGTGAGGAACTTGATTGTAGGTAAATACATGAGATACAGTATAACTACTGAACAAGTAAAGTAAATCTGAAGTGCATGCCAACTTTGCTATTAATATGACTATAAATAATGAATCTGAATCCAAACATTAAAAATAATTGCTAGGATGGAATGTCAAAACAGGTACAATAAAAAAGGAATTACCTCCTTTAGCGTATTGTTTTCCACATTGTTATCTAATGTTTTACATTGCATAATCACTCAGCAGAATGGACCAGTCTAAGTTGGAAGGGGAAGAGCTCAGCAAACATATTTCCATTTCCAAAGATCCTCAAGCAGTATTCCCCCATTTCGACGTCATCATCAGACAACACACAGTGAGTCACTGCCTAATGGCACCCAAATCAAAACACCTGTTAGTGACTACATATGGAATGTGAAGATGCTTGTAAAGAAGAAGATTATAATTAAAGATGCATTAATTCTAACAGAAATAAGACAAATGGAACAGATGGTTTACATATTTGCGGGCAGTTATGCTTTTGTATAATGGTAGTGGAGATGACGATTTGTAAACAGAATCACTGTATAATTTAGGTTGGAAGGGACCTTTGGAGTCCTTTCCTGACCTCTAGGCCAACACCCCTTCTCAAAGCAGGAGTCACTGCAAAGTTAGATCACGTAGGTGAAGGCAAATAGTGCCAACATTTGGTTGCTGAAAAGTTACCTGAAATAAAATGTGAAATAGTATTTCCCTGTATATTCTGCTGTAACTGGGGTAGCTGATACTCATTGCTTTGATCACATGGAACGAATTTAATGCTGCTGTCATAGAAGTGGTATTTTACGGCACCTACATAAACACAAAACAAGGATCATTCCTTTTGTATCACAAAGAGCCCTGGCAGGTGGACAAAAAATTGCTTCCATTCAGGCCTGGGTCCTCTCTGTGTAAAATCCTGACGCCATTAAATCAATGGTAAAACACGAAAAGATATGTGAAGCTCAGCTTATTCCAGCGTTGCTTTACTAAGAACTGATCAGCAATCACTATTAGTGTTTTCCCTTCATTTCTCTAACAGTTTTCAATAGAAAGCAAAACACATTTTAATTTCTTAGCTGTTGTCTTCTGAGTATGCAAACAAAACAGATTGTGAGAGTCATTAATGTACGCCTTTTGACATGCAATATTGAGTAAGAGTCAAATGAAACTCGTAATGCTGCTATTTATATCTAGCTAAATAGTTCATTGTTGCCTACTCACAGTGAATAATTAATTTGATTAATTACATGAGAAGCTGATTCATTCACCCAAGGCCTGTCTGGAAATATTACAAGAGACAAGTACTGTCTGATGGCACTTCAAGATTTCCAGATACAATTTTAATTTATATGTTTGTGGGAGCAAAAAATCACACTTACCCAGATATACTTCTCCTTTCATGCCCTCTTCATGTACTAATATTTGCCTTCTAAACAGACGAATAAGTTTGGAAATATTCTAGACTGTTTTAAAACTCTTCCTTGTCTAAGGAACTGAAGTGTTCTGACAGTTGTCCTAGTTTTTCCCCACAGTCGTGAACTCTGTTTTACTTTGCTGATTTCCTATTTTAATTTTAACTTTAAATTCCTAAGTCATTTTCCAGACTATCAAAATAATCTTTTAATGCTAAAACAAGTGACTAGACATTAGGAACTCCTAGTTCTAAGCCTGCTGCTTATTATTTACCTTGAACAAAATTTCTTGTGTTTGCTACTTTGTCATAGCCCCATTAAGACATCTTGAGGGGAGGGAAACGCCACTTTTAAAAAATTCACAATACGTATGTATGGAGATTTTTAATGAACATAAATCAGATCATAAGTTTTCTTTTTTAATATATTAATAGTGCCAAAAGCCATGTTGGCTTAGCGAGATTTTCACCCTTCTGCTTGTTAACTAATACTCTGTCAAGTATTGTCACTGATCCAAGAGGAGTGCCTTGTATTCAAAAGGCAGTAGGATGATGATTCCCAGTGATTCCCATTTTTTGTATTGGGAATACTGAAACAAAGAAAGGTTAATGGCTTTGTCAGTACTGTCTCGGTATGTGACAGAATTGGCTCTATCTGTGTCTGATAGATAAATTCAGCTGTTTGTGACCAA